AAAACAGAAGCTCTGGTGGCACTGTCAGTTAAGTGTTAGCCTGCTAACTACAAGGCTGGCAGTTCAAATCCACTAGCCCCTCCCAACAGAAAAAGAAGAGGCTGTCTGTTCCCATAAAGATATGCAATCTCAAAAAAGAAAGAAAGAAAAGATTTGCTGCCCCAGAAAACCACAAGGAGCAGCTCAGCTCTGTGCTCCGGGGTTGCAACAAGGTGATGCTAACACGGTGACAGTGGTTTGGGTTTGTTTTATTGAACAAAAATAAGTAAACAAATACAATTATGGACCACAGTGTCCTTCCTACTGTCCCGCCCATTCGTAAAATTATTTTGTCTTGAAATCTTTTCTTACTCTTCGACTATGTGAAATATCCCATTTTATCATCTGTAATAAACTGATTTTTATTTCACTATGGTGGTTTTGAACAGCTAGCCTTGTGGCAGCTAACAGGCCACTCACTATGCCATCATGGGTTCCCTTCTAGTCATGCAAATTAGGTGTATTTCTTCTTTTCCAGGTGCATCTGTATGTTCTTTGGACCCTGAGATCCCTGTGCTCTGAACCTCCTAGATCAAGGGTGAGGCAAGCTGTGACACCAGAAGTGTGGCAGCTGAAGAACCAAGAACCAGAGCTTCCCAGAATCGAGCAAGTACAGCTGAGTGCTTGTAGGCTAGAGACTTACTTGCAGAGCGAAGCGCTGAGCCCCTCTAGGCAGAGGGTGCCCTTGGACATTTATTATCAGTGCTAAAAATGCTCTCTAACATTGGCAGAGCAGAAACTAACAGGCCGTGTGGCTGGGAGAGGTGTGCCTATAGGCACTGCTGAGAAGAGGCGGTCCTGACGAGAAGAACTACGTCCTGGGCATTTCTAAATCTGAATCGCAACCTGTTAACTTCCCCAATAAACCTCATGATTGAGTACTGTCTGTAAGAGAAAATGGGGGAAGATGCTGACAGGATTATATGATAATTTACATGCCCGTCAGCATTATGCATGTTATTATTGTTGTTCCATATGCTTGCTGACAACGGACTTCAAAATTACTATGGGGTATTTCTTACCAGTCTCTGTCCATCCACCAATAAACTGGAAAGACTGAGAAAAGGAAAAGTAGAGCTATGTTTCCTGACTTTATACTGAGGACTCTTTTATCAGACATTTAGTGCCTTGTCTCTACCTCAAAGCCTCCCTAGTTACACAAATCCTTTAGTCCAACCTGACTAGTCTATTTACTTTTCCTTTAACAGATCTTGCTATCTTTACCTTTAGCGTGTTCAAGATTCCTACTTTAACTTCCCTTTTATGTTTAGTGTTTTACTGTATTATTTTATTGTGTTGTTTACCAGGTCAGTTCTGGCTCATAGCGACACTAAGTACAACAGCAACATTATGAATCCAATCCTGAGCCATCTTCAAAATTGTGGCTTGAGCCCACTGTTGCAAGACACTGTCAACTCATGTCCTTGAGGGTTTTCCATTATCCTGACACTTTGCAAAGCACCACGCATGATGTCCTTCTCCAGAGACTGGTCCCTCCTAATAAGACACACAAAGTATGTGTGACAAAGTCTTACCAACTTTGCTTCTAAGGGGCTATCTGACTGTACTTCTTCCAACAAAGATTTGTTCCTTCTTCTGGCCTCCCACGTTATATTTTATATTCTTTATCAACACCATAATTCAACTGAATCAATTGTTCTTCAATCTCCCGTATTCTCTGTCCGGCTTTCACACGTATATGAGGCTTAGGAACATGACTTGGGTCAGGTGTGCCTTAGTCCTCATTTTGCTCTTTAACACTTGAAACAGGTCTTTTGCACTAAGTAGATTAGCCCAATTCAACATATTGATTTTTGGACTGTTGTTTTCATGAGCATTGATGGTGAGTCCAAGTAAATGAAATCTTTTAACAACTTCAATATTTTCTGAACTTGTAAAAAAACACACACACACACAAAAAAGCCCAAACCAAAAAACCATGTTGTCTACTTGCCCAGTTGTGAGAAGTCTGTCTTCATTACATTGACTTGCAATCCACACTGAAAGGTGCAGCCTTTCCTCCTCACCAGCAAGTGTCTCCAAGTCCTCCTGCTTTCCGCACGCAAGGTGGCTTCATCTGCACAGGGGCCAGCCTTCTTCCAGTTCTCAAGTGTTCTTCATCACACAGCCTAGCTTCTCCATTCTGTGCTCACCAACCATATGGACTAAGGATGGCACACGGATACAACCCCGATGGTCAACTTCCGTGATATTAAACCGTGCTGTGTCCCCATGTCCTTTTCCCATGACCAATTCTTGGTCTATGTACTGGTTATACATAAGCACAATGAAGTAAGTGCTTTAGAATTACCAATCTTTTGAAATATTATCTATAGTTCATTATGATCCACACAATAAGATGCCTTTCCACAGTCAACAGAATAAGCAATGACGTCCCTTGTTTTAGCTCCTATTCTGAATTCAGCTTGAATTTTTTTAAGTTTCCTGTGAATGTACAGTTACAACTGTTTTTTAATTATCTTCAGCAAAACTTTACTTGCATGTGACATTACTGATTATTGGTAATTTCATCATTCTGTTGGGTCATCTTTTTTTGGAATGAGTACAAGTATAGATCTCTTCCAGGTGGCTGTCCAAGAAGCTGTCTTCAAATTTCTTAGCTAATGATTCCAGTGGTGTATGTTTGATGAGCATTTCAAATGGCATTCCGTCAATTCCCGAAGACTTGTTTTTTACTGATGCCTTCAGTGCAGCTTGGAAGTCATACTTCAGAGTCATTAGTTCTTGAGATGGCTGAACATCAACCAATTCTTTTTGGTAGTGACTCTTGTATTTCTACCCTTGTCTTTTTGACATGTCCTGTATTGTTCAATATTTCACTCAATATAATTCTTCAATATTGCACCTCAAGGCTTGAGTTTTTTCTTTAGCTCTTTCAGCTTGAGAAATGAAGGGCACATTTTTCCTTTTTGGCTTTCTAATTCCAGGTTTTTGCACATTTCATCATAATACCTTGTTTTCCCCAGCTACTCTCTGAAATTTTCTATTCAGCTTTTTAAATTCATCATTTCTTCCTTTAACTTTCACTACTTTAAATCATCCTAAGAGTTAACAACACATTAGCCTAACAAAGACTTTCTTTGCTGCAGTACATCAGCTGTAGGGTAAATACACCTTCTCTTTCTATCTTCTTTTACCAATTCAGACACAAACCATCCCTCCCACAGCACTCTCTACTTCTCTCCTGAGCTGAATCATCTATTACAGATGTCACAGAGAACTTACAGATACTCATACGGATGGGGTTTCTTAGTGAAGAAAGAGGTTACAGTACAGGATCATGCATGATGTGGATGTAATTCAAACATATCAGGACATAGTTCTTCAATTAGGACAGCTGTTTCTCAGCTGTGCCCTCAAGCGTGCCTCTCTCTTGGTCACATGGCCTCTTTCCTGTTATGGCAAGCAAGACAAATCTCTTTCAGCATCCCCTTTCAGCAAGAAGCCTCCTACTCTAAGGCATTCAGCTTTCTCATTCTGTGGGTTGACGCTTTCACTCTCTCTAGACCAGCTAGTCCACTTAGCTCAGTGGACTGGGAAGTTCACTACCCTATTCTACATTATCGTCTCTCTTCTGGTTCTGCTGTGCCATTTCTCTGCCACAGCTTCCCACTGTCTCCAGTAACAGAGCTGTCTGTCTGTTTTCAGGGGCAGGAGGTCCTCAGTGCAAGGACCTGCATCCAAAGGATATGCTTGGCTACTGGGTCTTCTTGGTAGTGAGGTCTCCCCTTCTCACTCTGCCTCTTTTAAACCTCGTGGGATGATAAAACTAACTGACCAATCCTCTACAAGAATCTATTTCTCTTGTGTCACAGTCCAATCCCTACAAGGTTCTATGCACCTTATCTTCATGATTAGTAAGCTGTTCAATCCCCTTGGTGGGCCATACACACCTTATTTGCATAGTTCTACCCAATCTTTTGTAGGAGTTAAAGACCATAGCTAGCAAGGCCATATCCTAGTTAATTCACTACACTGAATATAAAGGCCAAAACAAATATATCATCCTAATAGAGAAATAACCACAAGAGCCAGTAAATGAAGTAATACATATAAAACTTACATTAGTAATTAATAGCATTTTTAGTAATTCCTTAATTTTTAGCTTAATTTCCAACTTTTATCTAAGACTAACAACTTTCACAGGGCTATCCACAATTTAAATGCCATGCAAAGTAAACTATATAATGAAAATATATTTTTTTCACTGTTGAAAAATGGTACCTCGTTTCACTCACCTATAGGCTAACAAAATAGTCTAATAAGGATATTGACACCAAATACTCTTGACTCTATCTTTTTCTAATAACATGCTTATTACTTTAGAAAAACTTTTTGTGATACACAAGCAGACATTTTTATGTGAATCATAGGAAACTTCGCATTAACTTCTAATCCTACTACATTCTTAGATCTGTAGAAATATATTTGAAGATGACCTCAAACATTTCAATCATACCTGTTTTTGAGCTTCCACTTTTTGCTTTCTGGTTGGATCAATTGCATCTACCATCCATTTGATAGTAAAGTATGTCACTGCCCCAAATATTGTCAAACGGAAAATTAAACCAACAACTTCATTGCGACTCAAGGGACGAGAAAAGGCTTCTGCATGTACCATCTTGGTCTTTAACCTTAAAAAAAAGGCAGAGATGTCATTAAGTTATGATTATATTCACTAAAATCAGGAAACTGGCAGGCAAATCAGACTAGAAAGAAATACTAATTTTTAATCAGATTCAATAATACCCACTGCGAATGGGAGGGCAGAGTGGAGACCCAAAGCCCATCAGTAGTCAATTGGACGTCCCCTGTCAGAAGGGCCACAAGGAAGAGACAAGCCAGTCAGGGTGCAGTATAGCAATGACGAAGCACACTCCTTCCCCTAGTTCTTTAATGCTTCCCCCGCACCCCCTGCCCACTATCATGACCCCAATTCCATTTTACAAATCTAGCCAGACCAGAACATGTATACTGGTACAGATAAGAGCTTGCAACACAGGGAATTCAGAACAGATAAACCCCTCAGGACTAATAAGTGATACTAGGAGGGTAAGGGAAAAGGGGGGGTGGGGCTTTTAAGGGGGAACCGATCATAATAATCGACGTATGCCCCCCCTCCCATGGGGACAGACTGAAGAAAAGTGGGTGAAAAGAGCAGGAGTTGGTGTAAGACATGAAAAAAAAATTATAAATTATCAAGGGGACATGAGGAAAGAAGAGTATTGGGGGGTGGGCAGGGGAAAGAGGGAAAAAAACTGAGGAGCTGATACCAAGGGCTCAAGTATAAAGAAAATGTCTTGAAAAAGATGATGACAACTTATGTACATATGTGTCTGACACAATGGATATATGTATGGATTGTGATAGGAGCTGTAGAGCCCCCAAAATAATAGCCACTGCTGCCAAGTTGATTCTGACTCACTCAACATTATATACATTAATAATGTTTGATTTTAATAAGAAATGTATTTTTCTTTTTTTTTTTTTTAGAAATGTATTTAAACTATAATTAAACAAACACATGTAAAGCATCCTTGGAGCATTTGAAGGGGTAGATCTGAAACTAAGGTTATTATTAACTGGAATTTTCAATGAACTTCCCTAAAAACTCTTATAATTATAGTAGAGGATAATTCTATTATTTACTCCTCATGGTAGCTTTTAAATAACTGTTTTGGACTCTAGAAAACTAATGTCTATAGCACTAATAATATTGAAGAAAGCCAGCCCAACAATGAAATCATTTCACAAAGGTTATGACAAGAGGTTCTTCTATTTAAGTGTAATTTTTTAAATCAAATTCAAACAGTGACCTTATTCTCTTTTTCCTCATACTTACTTTTAAAGGTGTCCAAGGCCTTCAATTTAAACATGTCATTTTCTCAATAAGTGACATTAACATTTTGGGGCCATCTTACTGCTTTCCCCAATTCAATTAAACATTAAGCAATAAATCTCCATTATTTTTGAAGCAAAAAATCCAGCACAAGAAAACACTTATCCAATAAAGAGAAGAAAAAGTTTCCTTGTGCCTACTTTCACAGCATCTCCTGAGCAACCTTATCCATACAGCTTATGCTCTCAAGAAGCCACGTGTGGGAGAGGAGGGCAGGAAAAACAAAAGGGAGGAAAGAACTAGGAGGCAAAAGTCATTTATAGGGGCATACATATAGGCACATACATATATATTTATATTTGTATATAAATTAAATATATTTATATATAACAACATATAGGGAGCTAGGTCTATGTACATATACTTATGTTAAGTATTAAGTTATCAGATGGAAATTGAGCCACACTACTCATGTACTCCCTCAACACAAGAACACTTTGTTCTAGTAAACCTGGCAAATCACTGAAGACAAAATGGGTGCATAAGCAAATGTGGTGAAGACACCTGATGGAGCTCGGATATTAAAAGATATAGCGTCTGGGGTCATAAAAGGCTTGACGTGAAACAAGCAGCCATCTAGCTGGGAAGCAACAAAGCCCACATTGAAGCACACCAGCCTGTGTGATCGATCACAAGGTGTTGACAGGATCAAGTATCAGAAGGCCAAAAACAAGCAATCATATCAATGCGAATGAGGGGGGGCTGGAGTGGAGACCCAAAGCCCATCTGTAGACAATTGGACATCCCCTCACAGAAGAGTCACAAGGAAGGAAAGAGTCAGCCAGGGTGCATTATAGCACCAATGAAAACACACATTCCTCTAGTTCTTTAATGCTTCCTCCACCCACCTCCACTACTATGACCCCCAACTCTACCTTACAAATCCGGCTAGACCAGCGCATGTACACTGGTACAGAAAAGAGCTCTCGACATGCGGAATCCAGGATAAACCCTTCAGGCACAGTAAAGGGAGTAGTGATACCATGAAGGTAGTGGGAAGGTGGGAGGAGATAGGGGGAAACGATCACAATGATTGACTTATTATGCCGCTGCCCCACCACCTGCCCGAGGATCAACAGCAACGTAGGTGAAGGGAGACAGCTGACGGTGTAAGATATGAAAATAACAGTTCGAGTAGAAAGAAAATATCTTGAAAATGATGGCAACAAATGTACAAAATGTATGGATTGTTTTAAGAGAAGTGAGAGGCAAAAAAAAAGCAGTAAGAACCTCCCAATAAAATGATTTTTTTTAAAAAGCCACTTGTACAAGGCACTAACTATTCAAGGGAATAAGTTGGTTAGGGATGATCTAATTTATCAGACCTGGCAGAAAGGCTTTCACTTTCAAATGACAACACAGGACTATGCTTAGCGTTATGATACACAGAGGGGAAAGAATATACATTTTTCAGAGATATGAAATGATGTCAGAACCGATAGTAGGCTCAGTCAACAGGTAAAACTCAGGTACTGCTATCCATACCCCATCAAGCTCTGAAATTAATTTTCTTGTTTCTCACTGCCCCTACACAATTACTGATTGTGTTCCTCTCCCTCTCTAAGGAGCAGTTCTAACGATGTTTCAGTTGCTGTGTGCTGGACCAATCAATTCTGGCTCCCAGGAACCCTATTCAACAGAGCACAACTGCCCTACAGCCCCTAAATTGCCATCATGACAGGGATGCACTGCCAGCTCTTCTGTCCCTCAGCACAGAGCAGATTCAAATCTCCAATCTTTGGGTTACCATTAGTACAGCTCCACATCTTAGGATCCTCACTGATCAAGAGAAAAACTCCCCCCTAATCAAAAGCCTCAAAGAAGTCCATTGATGGGTAAATTCCCAAGCTTTCATGACTACCCTAATCCTGCCACTGAGCCACTTTCAAGCACTTTACCTCCTACCCTTTTCCCAGCAGGAACTCTCAAGAGCTATACTCACTGGCATTTGAAAATGCCACAAAATAGAATTTTTCCATGAACTTTTTAAAACTCCTTCAAAGGAGTTTTTCATTTAGACCTATTACAATATTATAAGAAATGTCTTGTTGCTTGCTCTTATTTAGTCATTGAACTAATATATCAGTCTCACTATCTAAACATGCAAATCCTTATCAACAGGATTTATTCTTCTTTGCAACTGTCCCAGAAGACAAAAGCAATTCAATAGTTATCTGCTCAGTAGATTAATTGTAAATGCAAAAATTCTCCCATTCAAGCATTCCAACTGACTCTGACTAATGATAAGGCAAGGGTTCCATTACTTCTCTTCCACTTCTCCATCACTAGGAGCCATACACATCACAGTCATAATTATATCACTTAAATTTAACTACTTTAGGAGCTCAAATGGCTTAGTGGTTAAGTGTAGGGCTGTGATCCCAAACTTAACTACTTAATTGAAAGCTTTCATTTCTGATGAAGAAACTTTGTCCTATCAAAAATTAGTGTTTCCGACACTAATTTTTTAGGAGAGTAGAAAGTCTTGCCTCTCCCTCACATTGATTGACTGCTGGTTTTGAACTGCTGACCTCGAAGTTAGCAGCCCTGCACATAACCACTACACTACCAGGATTCCTGGAGACCCTATAGGTCTGGGTAGAACTGCCCCTGAGGGTTTCCAAGACTGTAACTTCAGGGGATTAGAAAGCCTCATCTTTCTCTTGTGGATAGCTGGTGGTTTCAAACTACTGACCTAGCCCATAGCAGACCCAACATGTAACCGCTATGCCAGTAGAGCTCCAGATTTGTCCTAAGTGTTTTAATTCAATTCACACAAAACACTTTTGAACATCTATATATGTGGGAGCATCAAAGAGTTCGTAGAAGAGTGAAATTGAAAAATGGGATATTCCCACAAACCTTTTGAAGCCCCCTTTCACCCTATATAACACCTATTGTTTACTGGTATAAAGAAAAATGACTAGCATACAATTATTTTATTCATGGGGCACCACAATTTAAAATTAAAGAAAGAAAGCTCGATGCCAGAGTCAATTCAGACACATACTGCCACTATAAAGGAATTCCAAGACTGTTAACTCTTCATGGGAGCAGAGAGACTCATCTTCCTTCCCTAACGTGGCAGAGGGACTGAACCACCATGGACCTTGCAGTTTGCAGCCCAATGCCCAACCCATAGTGAGAAAAATCCAGTTAAAATCTTTTCCTCATTTAAAAAAAAATCAAGGTGTGCGTTCTTCCATTAGCAAGAAGTCCTAAAAATGAGTTACAGGATAGTCTATTTTTCTTAGAAAGTGAAAAGTTGAGTTCTCTAAGTCCTATTCCAATAGAGTGAATGTGAAAACAATGATATGTGCTGTCATTTTCTAGACAAAAATCATCCATTCGGCAAACTAAAGGTTTCATCAGCTCAGCACTTGGTGAGAACTACAAATTGCAAGAAAATACTTTCACTTAGTTTGTGCCGGTATCGCTAAAACTGCCATCTACTGGATGTTCCCTGAACATCATGGACAATTAAGGGTGTTTCCCTGTACATCCGAAGAAAGGAACAACTTTTAATCTTTAAATAGTATCAAAACACAAACCCAAGTCACTCATATATTTTCCTACGCTAAAATCATTAAGTGCAATAAGGTGACTTCTAAAATATTCTCCATTTTTCAAAATGACTTCAAAATCCTGAAATGAAACAGAAACTCCTTTGCATTACGTAACCTGGTAGTTTTATTTCACAACTCCTTGATCATTTCTATGGCACCCATGTGCCAACACTTTAAGGTCTTTACAGCAAAATGAGCATTCAGCAAAGGCGGAATATGCACACCACCAGAGTGAATGCATTTCAAGCATGTATAATAAACATTAGAGAAGTATAAAAACAAACACAAATACGTGCACAAACAACGAGGCTTCAAAAAAAAGTTCTGGAAATATGGAATTAACAGATAAAGAGATTTTCCACGAACTTTTTGAAGCTCCCTCACACAGTGTAATGGGCAACTAAGAAATATTGTAAACAGTCTAATTTAGATATTTTAAAGTAACTTTCAACCTTGGCTTCTTCCTTTAATACAACACACTCTTTGGAGAAAGGGATAGGTACACATTAGGGATGATACTAGTTTGCCATTACTAGAAGCTACACATGCGGAGCACACCTTAATTAAGTTCAGGGTTATTCGCTAGGGATGAACGATAGTTGACAGTTTTCACTTTAAAGGGGCTCTCCAATGCAGGGGAGGAGTCCGGCAGTGCGTGTGGGGGTGGGGGTACGGGGGGTGGGGTGGGGGAGCGCGCAAATGGGAGCTCGTAATAGCTAGTTAATGAGCAATTATTGACGGGTGAAAGACTGAGACTACAGTGTTCAAACTATAACACTGCTCTCAATTAAACCAAGTTTCTCAATCCTCAATTTCCCAGACATTGTGATTCTACGAATAAAGTCTATGCCATTGAAAGCCTGCCAATCTTCACCAAGAGGGCAGAGTATTAACATCACCATCCTCTGCGAAAGCGTGCCCAGACCTAAAGGAAGCGCTCGGCTTTTGCTCCAGGTGGTAGCTGCACCTGTGCGACAATCAGGCCCAGTTAATTCCACTGTCTTCGCCAAGGATCAAGGATCTGGGGTCGCCCGAGGCGACTCCGAGGCCTGGCCTACAAAGGTTCCGGAGGGTGTGGTATAATTAATTCTAGGGCAGTGCCACCGGAGACGTAAAGTCTGCCTCGAAGCCACGACGAGGCCTGGGATGCCCTTGGAGGTTAATCCGCTCCCCGCGCCGGGCTGCGGGTCGCTGGGTGGCGGCACTGAGAGGGGGCGTGGGAAGAGCGCGGGGTGACCTTCCTGAGTCGGCTTACCGGGTCCAGGCCAGTTCATGAGGGTGTTCCGCGGAATTCAGCAACCGCCCCCACGAGACCCCGAGGGAAGCCGCTACTCACCCCGGGGCAGAGGGAGGCACCAAGAGCTGGCAGGCGCTGGAGCCCACTGCCGGCCTTGCACAGGAAGGAAATGCCCCAGGGAGTAAGCGCTTCCGGTAAGTGGCCGTGACGCGCACGGCGCATGCGCAGTCCACGACCACCCGCGCAAAAGCTTCCGGTTTCAGAACAGGCCGTGGAGCGAGTTCACGTTCCATATCCTCGATCTACAACTTACTGGGTTGAGGCTCTCCGGGAAACCTGTGTGGCTGCAAGTCCGACTTGCCCAGGCTCTGAGGTTAGCTCGTCTCAGAAATCACGTTGGGGAAGCCATAGGTGGCCTAAGGTCTCCGCTGTACTCGCTCCGGGGACTGTTCTGACAAATGGGGACCCCTCGGAGTGCAAGGAAGCGCCCCGAGCGGGCATGTATCCCCTGCAAATTCCACGGAAGACCGTTAGCCTTCCACCGGTTTCAACCTCAGTAAAAGCTCGCCACCGCTGCCGCTCTGTCATTTAGCCACATGGCAGTGGCGCCTGGCCCCTCCCGCCCCCGCCCCGCCCCCACCACACCTCACCATCGGCCTATCAGTTTCCAGAGTGAGCTCACTGGCCCCCTTCTCTGCGCTCACAAGCACTTGGGGTGGCGCTTGAAGATCCTGCGGCAAAAAGGGTCCGACTCCGAGCGGGTAGCAGGGACTGGCATCTCGGGGCTTCCATTGTCTTCTTAACCTTTTCCTGAATAGGTGGTGAGACTCCAGAGGTCTCAAGGTAGCAAGCACGAAAGCCAGCCCCTCCTAAATACACATTTGCCAAGGGTAAAATGACTTTATCTCAAAATAGGGGAGCCATGGCTTCCTTCAGTTAAAGGCGGTCAGACTGAGGAGGAGTAATTTTTTGCGTCCCGTAAGGCGGTTCAGAATGGAGTGGAGGCGGCGGGTTTAGTTTGAACACGCAGCTCAAGCAGCCCTGGTGGCGCTGTTGGGTAAAGGTAAGCTATGCTGCTTGTTCACCACAAGGTTGCAATTCGAACTCACTAGCCGCTCCTGGGAGAAAGATGAGGCTTCTGTTCCGGTAAAGTTTTACAGCCTCTGAAACCACGTATTATAGAGAGTCGCTATGAGTTGGAATCAACTCAATGGCTGTGGGTCGGGTAAGGCACTTTGTGCCGCTATGCTTTTGACATCTTTGGTGGCTTTCTTAGGTATCTTAACAGAGATCTCACACGTGTCTTTAACAGAATCCACTCGAGGTCAAAAAAAAAAAAAAGCAAAGCTACCATTGAGTCGATGCCAAACTCATAGGGACCCTGTAGAACTGTCCCTGTGAGTTTCAGAGACTAACTCTTTATGGGAGTAGCCGCGGTAGTTAGAACCGCACGAGTGACCATTATGACATAAACTCCAATTCAGAGCACTCAGGGAAGGGTTTTTCTAGCTGTGGCCTCTGAAGGAAGGTCCTTGTCTCATTACAACTATGTGCCTGGAATTCTTTGGAAATCTATGCATGTCTTGGCATCAGTTTTTCCCTGGGTCTAGGAGATTCTCAGCACAGGAACCCAGAGTCCAAAATATACTCTCCGCTTCTGACTTTTCTTTCTTGGTAGTACTGAGGTCCCTCCTTCTCTACTTGCTTCTGTGTCCTTGTATTTCTTGTAAGATAAAAGATGACAGGCCAAATTCCAGAGAAACTCCTCTTAAACGTGATCAGGGCTAAGAGTCGTGCAGTCCACCCTAATTTTCCAACTGTTTGAGTACTTCAGATCACATCGTGGAGCTAAGTACATCATTGCATAGCTACCAAGCCACTGAGAATCATCGCCCAACCAAACTGACACATATTTTGGGGGAGTCACAAATTAATCCATGATAGTAGCTAAGAATTCTGCAACCTTAAATTTAGCATTTGCTACCTTTGTTACCAGCTTGTAATCATGTTGTGAGGACAACAGCTACACTTATAGAATGTAACAGACACAATGCTGGATTTGCGCTTTACATCAATAATATAAAGTACATTAAAAACAATCCTCTAAATTAGTCAGTGTTTTCTTCATTTTATTAGCTAATAAGTAGCAAACTTTCATTGGAAGTCAGATTTGTTCAATTCAAACACTTCCCTTTACATTTTCTCTTTGAGTGTAATATCCATGAAATGGAGAAAAATCTAGTAGAAAGAGATAAGACTATGAAATGACAAATCACAGCTTTAAAGAATAATGAAGGGAAAAGAGGGGTGCATCTACTTATAACTTTCTAAATTTAAAACACCCAACTAGGATTATTTTCCATTATTAATGAAAATTAAACTTTTTTAGATTTGAATTAGGTTCATTGACTAGAATCAGAGGGAATTTAATAGTGTTTTGTGTTGCATGCCCATTTTTTTATAAAGCTGTGTGTGTATACCTTCATAAAATATTATTTTTAATTTGGTGTGATACTAGATTTGGGAATACAGTCCTGATTAGTTAGTCTTCAAACAGAGAGATAGACCTTTGAGAAGAATAGATTGCTTTGGGGACCAGAACAGTGTTAACAAAAAAGAATCTGCAGCTACTGAACCTGCTGGTAATAAGTATTCTTGGAAGAGATTCTCCACTGGGTCCTTGTGGTGATGCTCAAGCTGAACCACTGCATGGGAGACTCACAGAGACATGACTTTGCAAGGCTAAAAGGAAGGCCCTCTGAAAGAAAGGACTTCAGATTTTCCTGAAATCTAATTTTAAGAGTATTCTTAAACGCTGGTGACATTGTGGGTTAGGCATCTGACTGCAATTCAAACCTACCAGCCACTCTGGAAGAAAGAGGAGACTGTGCGACTATAAAGATTTACATTCTCAGAAACCCTGTATAGGGTCCCTATGAGTTGCAATTGATTCGATGGCAGTGGGTTTGGGCAAGGTAGTCATAGGAACATTGGTTGTCAGTTGGATAGAGGTGTAGTTAGTATAGCCATGGTGAGGGGTTTTCATATTTCACTGTGAGTAGATTCACTTCAACAACTTGGTAAAGTACAGATTCCTGTGTCCCAGCATAGAGGCCAATTACTCTAGGATTTGGGCCCAGGAACCTCTAAGCACCTGAGATGGTGCTGATAAATGAAGGTTTGTTTTTTTTAAATCATTTTATTGGGGGCTCATACAACTCATCACAATCCATCCATCCATCCATTGTGCCAAGCACACCTGTACATATGTTGCCACCATTCTCAAAACATTTGCTTTCTACTTGTGCCCTTGGTATCAGCTCCTCATTTTCTCCTTCCCCTCCCCCATGACCCCTTGGTAATTTATAAATTATTATTTTGTCATATCTTACACCGTCCGAAGTCTCCCTTCACCCGCTTCTCCACTGTCTGTCCCCCAGGGAGAAGGTTATATGTAGATCCTTATAATCGGCTCCCCCTTTCTCCCTCACCTTCCCTCCACCCTCCCAGTATCACCACTCTCACCACGGGTCCTGAGGTAGCTGTAAATCCTCCGGTCCAGCCAGATTTGTAAGGTAGAATTGGGATCATGATAGTGGGGAGGGGAGGGGGAAGAAGCATTCAAGAACTAGAGGAAAATTGTATGTTTCATCATTGCTACACTGCACCCTAACTGGCTCATCTCCTCCCTGCAGCCCTTCTGCAAGGGGATGTCCAATTTCAAACAAATGGGCCCTGGGTCCCCACTCCGCACTTCCCCTCATTCACAATGATATGATTTTTTTTTTTTTTTTGGTCTTTGATGCCTGATACCTGATCCCTTCGATGCCTTGTGATCTTGTAGGCTGATGTGCTTCTTCCATGTGGGCTTTGTTGTTTCTCAGTTAGATGGCCCCTTATTTATCTTTCACCTATAGGACCCCAGATTCTCTATCTTTTGACAGCCAGACACCATCAGCTTTCTTCACCACATTTGCTTATGCACCTGCTTTGTCCTCAGCAGTAGTGATAGGCTGGTGTGCTTCTTCCATGTGGGCTTTGTTGTTTTTCAGCTAGATGGCCGCTTGTTAATCTTCAGGCCTTTAAGACTTCAGATGCTGTATCTTTTGGTAGCCGGGGATAAAGGGAGTTTTAAAGCACACATTGAGAAACTACTGTGGGGAGTGATGGTTCTAGAATTATTTCTTTCTCTCTCCTTAATTTTAATCTTTACCATCTCAGCACAAATGGCATATCTGATCATTGAAACCATTAACCCAGCTGGTATGCATCAAGTAATCAAGACAAAGACACTATGATTTTGAATAAAATCCCTGTGGAAGGGGAAAAAATCTGACCTCTTTGAAGAACCTGGTAAACCTAACAATTTTCATTATTCGTTATAAACGATTCACTGATTTAGAAAGAGCAGAACTTCAACAAATAGATAAAATTATATAGTAGCAATTATGCCAGTGTAATAGTCGCTAGGTAACCTTGGTTCTTTTAAAAAATATTTCATTGGGAAAGAATAATCTTAATTATTATTTTGACAAGTGATGTTAAATAGAAATGGGTGGGAAAAGTAAAGTAAAGCAAGAATTTGAAGCTGCATCTGAAGCCACAAAAGCACTCAGAAGGGACCAAGATTAAGTGCTTGACGCTTCAGGAGAAAGACTACAATCAAGCCAAGGCAAAAGTAATGGCAAAATTAAATTTTCAGCAGGAAGGAGTGGGAAATGAATTGATAGTCCCAGTCCACGGAAAGCACAGGGAACTAAAAGAAAATTGCACCAGCACAGTTCAAGGAACATATTGTTGTCAATCTCCTTTCCAAGCACTAATGTTTGTTAAACGTTGCACATAATTTAAAATGAGTAGAAGGGAAAAACAAGGAAGCCAGGTGAAACAGGGATTAATGCACTCAATTGCCTCATGAAGGCTGCAGGGCTCAACCTCAACAACTGCTCTGCAGCAGAGAGACGTGGCAGGCAGCTGGTGCCAGGATGCACAGCTTGGGCAACCTAGGCATCTCGATTCTGTCCTGTAGGGTCCATTTGATTCGGAATTGACTTGTTGGTCTTGAGTTTGGTTTGAGATATGAAAAATTGAGTGTAGTAGTTTCCATATGTTATCAGGATAACAATAGTCCAATCTTATATTTATACATAATCCTTTTTCCCCCCTAATGGCAGCTGTACATTTTAAAACACTTCTATATAAATAAAAAAAATGTTTTTCTAGACCTTAGATTTGTGTGGAAAACCTACAAAATGTTGATTTTTTAACTTTAACACCATACTGAAAATATCAGGAGAGGGGAGTGTTCAAAAAGTGCATGGAAAAAGTGGAATTAAGAGACCATTTTTTTCTGTGCATGAACCTTCTGAATCTGCCCTCCCCCATGCTCCCTAGTGTTCAGGTAATGTTATCTGTGAAGTCAGTGTTGAGCAGAAGCAGAGGATTGCTTGAGGAGATACCTAACACTAACTGTATC